CATGACAGCGGGCCCTACGTCGAACCACGTGCTTCATACATAGCGGCAAATATCTACATAAAATGCGACTTGGTTGAAGGCTCGGATTCTTTTCTGAGCGACTTTTAAGGTGCTCGCAAACGCTGGTATCACATGAGTATAGCTGCTGAAAAGCAGCTTGGGGCAGTAGCCATCATGCGCTTTTCAAAAAGCGTGTCAAACCCTTTCTTAAAATGACCAAGATGCCGTGATGACAGAGTAGCTGAAAAGAACCTTCCAAATCCTCTCGCTCCACGGATAGAACCTGCCCGAGAGCTCACAACTCGCTCGGAGAGGGGGGCTGCCTAGCATTGCCAATCTGCCAATCACAGGACAGCCTGTCGACCCTGCTCGTCACCGGGTTGATGCGGCTCACCTCATGGAAATCTCATCAGGAACAAATGGGAGCTCCTTGCAGTGTCATCGCTTGCATCACCAACATCAGGCTTCGACTCCATAGAACTCTGGTCTGGTTGGCTCAGGCTTCTTTTTCATTGAGAACGTGCCCCACCTTAGATTGCAAATGCCATGCACGACATAAACCTCGTCTCAGGTCTGGGGCCAACGCTTTAAGGCATACAGGTTGGATTTTCTGCGCCAGAAGTGTATGAACGTAGTTGAGAAAAGCCCCACACCTGTTGGAATATTGCTGACAGGTTGGTGGCCCAGGCATGTGTAACGTCCGGCCTACGCACAAGAAAGCCGCTGTCCAATTGTTGGGCGTCTGCATGAACAGATCCAGCACCTGGGCCGCATTGGACCGGCATTGGGTGGCTGTGCAGCCACTAAATCCAAAGCTTGCATCCGCAAGCCATGACCATGCAGCTACTACGAGATGCATAACACAGCTTGGACGTCTATACCTTGAGCTGTCCTGAAATCTCTCGCGAAACCTGGGCAAGCTGTCAATCCCCTTGCCTCTCGCACACAACTAGCGTCCGAAGACTGCTTCAAGGGCCCCTAAGCATGGTATGTTTTACATCGGATAGCATGAAACCACGGCCGGTGGCGGGCATTGCTTGTTTTTGCAACCACTCACTGGACAAGGTCTGCCCGGGGCTGGGACGCAACAGAAGCAGCCAATCAAGGTTGGTATCACCATCCATTTGATAAAGTGAGACCTCGTTTTTCACGAGTTTTCAAGCTCTTCTTGGTGCCAGCCTGGCCGCTAGGGCTAAGAGATGCACATGAACAGGAAATACAGCGCGATACGCTCGCCGAAGTAATCTCGGACCTGCGTGTGCAATGAATAAGCCCTTTCTTAGAAGCAAACCCGTTTGTGCATGACAATGGCCTTGTGGATGTTGCGGCCCATGACGAAGGTCTTGAACCAATCCTTGTCCATATCCTGTAACTTTCCTGGCACTGCAGCCAGTCGCACAAGTCTACACGCGAGGCTCGTATGCCTTGCTCATGCAGAGGAAAGTAGTGGATCAGGTCGCCACTTAGCCAGCGAATTTGTAGCGATGCTTGCAAGTTGGGCAAGGTTGCAGGGTGAGGCAGGAGCTCGTGCAACAGCTGCCCAACATCAATGCCAGCACAACTTCGGTCGCCACTGCGCACCTTTAGTCACAAACGCTCGGTACATCTCTGCACTGTACGAAGTAGAGCTGTCTGCGTCGGGGGGGGGGGGGACAAACAAACCCTTGACCAAGTCTTGCACAATGTGATCAATGAGACGGAGGCGGTCCACGGTGCGGAAAATGGCATCTACAGGGCTCATTTGCTAGCAGTTTCTCAAGTTTGCTGAAGATACTTTCCATTCGTCGGCCTTTCTGCGGGTAGTCACCTTCTTTTTCTTTGTCAGCATGTGTTTCATACAGGTGCGACACCTGAGCGCGGCAGGCAACGCGTACAAGAAACTATCCAAAGCCGAAAGTGAGCCGAAAGCAGCAACATGATCCGACGGCTGAGCGAAGTACAACGCATCGGTCACGATAGTTCATATCGCGTCGCCCTGACACATGATGCGAACTGTCAGAGGAAAAGCAAGCCGCAACAACTCTCACAGTCCATGCGGCGGAATCTAGCTGCCTGCATAGTCATTCTTGTAGTCTGCAAAGGCAGACAAGTACTGCCTCACAACTCTATATTCGTTTCCGGACAGCTACACAAAGCCAAGCGCATATTATTGCCTTCACAAGAGCCTAAGCTGTTTGCGGTTTCAGCTCCAGTTGATACCGAATCATCTCTGCTACCTGGAGATTCGACAAGAAGCTTTCAATGCAGGACTTCCATTTGTAGAGCACAGAGCGCAACCTGCCGCAAATGCTGTGGGTCAGCTGCTATGCGAACCTGTAGCTAGTACAGTCCAGCACAGCAAGTACACCACCGACCTGTCAGCATCACAAAGCACCAAATCAGAAGCACACAAAAATCTCGTCTCGATCTCGAGAATAGTACAGCATCAACACCTCGCCAGCATCAGCATCCAAGCTGGCTCGCCCAGTCTATTGCTGAGACGTTGACCAACCCTGTGTCGCTTAATGTGTGGATGACGGTATTGCGCTTCGCCTAGCACCACACGGACCCATATGAACCAGGCATAAGGCAGTGACTGTGTGAAGCTTAGAGGCCTTCCAGGACTCCATCTGGCGAATCTGTTCCTCGGTAGGTTGTCGGAGGCCACGAGCTTCCTGCCCAAATTACGGTATGTTCTGTCATGCAGGCTGACCTCGTGCAGACCTCCTCTGCTGCAGCATCACCCCAGCGAAGATGAGCGCTCGTCTGCCAAAGTTTGTAAACGTGAACAACGCACGCTACGCACGCCCTCTGCTTCACATACTTCACATGCATTTCAAATTGGGCTTTGGTGCTTTCGTCTCCTTTTTGCACGTGGTCTCACGTGGTTCAAGCTCCGAGACGAACCGCGCTGGAGACATCTGGAGACGAAGCAGCTTTCAGCAGCTTTCAACCGCTTGGGTAAAGCACGTCGTAGTGCCTGGACACGTGCTGCCATGGCTCAGCTGCTCAGCTGGCAGTCCGACAGCGACACCAACTAAGATCTTGACCCAGGTCGGTAGAGCAAATGCACAGGTGCAAACGGCAGAGTTGAGTCATGCGCCTGCACAGCTGCACAACTGCCACTGCAACAAGCTTGAGTTGGGTAGAACTAGAAGGCATGACGAATGGATGTTCGGCAGCATCTCCCGTAGATCTGTCCAAGTAGACAACAGTCACCTCGACTCTGCCAGATCTGCTAGGCATGAGCATCAGCCACAACTTAGCTGAGATGCAGACAGGGACCGACAGAAACGCAGAAAGCGCCATTATCTGAAGATGATCGGCTTCAGTGTTTACGGGGTCAACCTGGCTGGGTTGAAGTATGTCCACAAAGGAACTGGCTAGCACAAAGGAGCGATTGTAGCGCTGCTTAGAAAGACGCCTCCTGTGCACAGAATTGCTCGATGGAGGAGTGCGCTGTCAGGAATCCACTGAAATCCTGTGACACTTGTGCTTGTAAACGGGCAAATTACGAGTACAAGCCGTCTACATCTGGTTTAATGAGTTTTGCTAACACGGCCAAGCTCCTTCTACATCCCGCAAGACTTGACAAGACCTACAACCCCCAAGTTGGCAAAATACGCCAGCGCCAAAGAATCTTACACCGTTTTAAAAGGCCTGCTTAGCGAAAGCTGGCGAGCTGTCTAGCTGACACATGATTCTACATGATGCTCCCTACCCCTCTGATTCTGCGTTGGAATCCACTTGGCGGTTTTTTGTCGGTTTCTGCGGGGCGCTGGGAGGACTAGGCCGGCGGCGCGGGCTGGTGTGGGTCTCAGCTACAGGACCTGAAACAAAAAAGGCGGCCTGGGTGGAGGGGGGCCGGTTGAGGGGGGTCCTAAGGTTCACCACCGAATGTGAGACAAGCAAGTGAAATTCTCGGAAGCCTGAAAAGGCCTGGCTGCTTTGGGGTCGGCATCTCTGCTCTGCAGCTCCTCTCTACCCTTGCCGAGGCGGTCGCGCATTCGCGATTAAATCATACGAGTGCTGCCAGCCTGGAATCAAACGGATGTGGTGCCCTGTCACGGGCATGAAGCTGCAGGGCACACCACCTTTACGGTCTCCACTGCCATGGCGCAGTTTTGCATCAGCACGTCATTTGCCGCTGGATTCATGCTACGGAAATCCCCTCTGGGGCCATAGTGGCGTGTTCACTGCGTTCTGTCTCGACTTATTTGACCTTCCACCGGTGCTTCAGAACCTGAAGCCCGCTCAACCTCTTCCTTTGTGTGGCAACCCGTGCCCAAGAAGGGGTTTGGTAGGAAGAGCAAGCATGGGCTCTATGCTGGAAGTCTTCAACCCACTTCCGCACAGCTCGAAAACTCCCCATCACAAATCACCACAACTAGACAGCAAATACAGTAAGCAATCGTCGGCTTCCACAACATGTTTCGGCCTCTGCCCGACGCTTCAGATAGGCGGACCTCAGCAAAAGGTTCTTAGACCCGTTCTGGCAAAGACCGTTGGTACAGTCATGCTGTGTTAGGACACATGCAGCCTCAGCCCAGCAAAGAGCAAGAAGCACCAAAATTCATAAGAATAAACAGCTGGGAAGAAAGCTGCCGACGTAAGGACACGTGCCCAGCACACGAGGTAATCACTGTTCTCCTCCATGACAGCCTGCTTGTTCTGCACATGGCCGTTTTCAAGAGACCACAATCAGTGCAAAGCCACACCTCGACGGTCGAAACCGAAGAGCCTTCTGCACCCAATCTTTCTATGCTCTCCATAAACTCCTCGTAGAAGCCTTCAATGCCGACCTGCAGTGGCCACTTTTGGCCAGAAGCAGCACAGGTGCCTCGCCTTCTGGTAGCCCGCTTCAATACAAAGATCCAACGCCCCCGCGAGGCGGCTGGTCAGTGCTGCTTGGCGCTCCTTGCAAGTAGCTGTGCGCGCAAACCTCCCGGGAAATCCTCTTTCATGCTGCCATGATGTCCCGTCACTTTGAGCGTCCTTGTTGCCAGCAAGCTGCTCAAAGATGCCAAACAGGTACGCACGATAAAAGCCTAAGATCCGCCGGCAGCATGCACAAATCTTATCAACTCAGAACCCATCGCGTGCAGCTTGAGCGCAGTTGCCATCCGGAGATGTTCTCCCTGTGCACCGGGTCTCTTGCAAGCCACTGCCAAGCTTCTTCGTTGAGTTCATCTGGGAGGCTGGCGCAAGCTTGCGAAGCGCTCTTCCAGGCCCTTCACCTCACGGCATGTTCAAAGCTGGCATTGCGGTCAATACAGCTGCTGAGCAATATCTAGCAGTCTTCCATTCAACAGCCCTCCTGACAGAAAAACGGCTTCCTGCATCATTTTGCAACAGCCCAATGTTGTGTCAATTTCTGCGCTAGCTTTACGGCTTCATCCAGCTGCCGGAGGACGAGAGGTTGGCGAGCATTGTCATTGGAAGGAACAATACGCTTTAAGATGTTGGGGTACGTGTGCATGAGTTTGAAAAAATTGCTAGCCATAGCAAAAGCAGGTAGAAACAAACAGCAAACCTGATCAATTGACAATGTGAAGTGCTTCAAGTCCGCCACTGCCGTTGCCGCCGCCGCTGCTGCCGCTGCCGCTGCCGCCGCTGTCGCTGCCGCCGCTGCCGCCGCCGCTGCTGCTACTGCTATTGCTATTACTATTACCTTTGCTAATACCAGTACCACTAATAATAACAATCATAATAATCATAGTAGTACTACAACTACGGGGCAAAGGGTAGGTTTGCCCGGAGGAATCCCGATACACTGGCAGGGCCAGTGATTTTGCTCTCGAGCCGGGCTTCAGATTTCGGAATTTCAGGCCCTCTGTTCCGTCTTGGAATCTCGAAAACACTGGCAGGGCCAATGGATTTGCATTTTTTAAAGGTTTTGGACGAAATGAGATTTTAGGTTTGTGAGCCTTGGAGGCCTGCAAACTTCCGAGAAGAGCCTAAACCCTGAGAGGCCCTAATTCCCAAAAACCTCAAGCCCTAAACATCCTAAAAAACCTAAACCCTACACCCTGAAAACCCTAAAACCTAAACCCTAAAAACCCTAAACCCTAAAAACCTAAACCCTAAAAACCACCTAAAACCCCTAAAGCCACCTAAACCCTAAAAAACCTAAACCCTCAAAACCCGTAAACCCTAAAAACACTAAACCCTAAACCCTAAAAACCCTAAACATTAAAAACACTAAACCCTAAAAACCCTAAACAGCCCTAATAAACCCTAAACCCTAGAACCCTAAACCCTGAAACCCCTAAACCCTAAAACCCCTAAACCCTAAAAACCTTAAACCTTACACCCTGAAAACCCTAAAAACCCTAAACACCAAAAACCCTAAAACCACTAAACCCTAAAAACCCTAAACCCTAAAAACCTCCCTAACAACCTTGAAACCCAACTAAAAACCCTAAAACCACCTAAACCCAAAAACCCTAAGCCCTAAAAACCCTAAACCCTGAAAACCCTAAAAACCCTAAACCCTAAACCCTAAACCCTAAAAACCCTAAAACTAAAACCCCCAAAAACCCTCAACCCTAAAAACCCAAAACCTGAAATTGACAGCAAGCACAGCTCAATTCTGGGCGAACCTACCCATTTGCGCGGCCTACAACTACTCCTACTACTTGTGGGATTCAAAAAAATACCTCACAAAATGCAACTACACCTCATGAGCCTGCTGGAATTTCGTTAACTTGCAGTACAAGTTTAGTACTGGAATCGATGTTCCCATGAGCCGGCTGGATTTTCAATAAATCGTAGTACAAGTTTAGTACAGGAATCAACGTTCCGAGTCCAAAAATTTGGGTAATCCTTTTTGTGGATTTGCTATATCGTTTTACACACCCGACGCCTTCACCCTTACGTTGCTGAGACTATATCGTTTCCCGGCCCGCCGCATGGACATCAAGACGCAACAACCCCAGTGACCCGGCAGGACTCTCGCCTGAGGCGGAGTATTTGGATTATTGCTCATGTGCACAGTCATGAGCACGGCTAACAAGGCCCAGTGTTTCATGATAAGGAAAGGCTCTAAGGATCTGTCTTCAACACCTTGATTTAGCATCTATATTTGATGCACGCCCTCAAAGATTTGCAAGCGTGCCCATAGCCTTTGCGAGAAAAGCCGGATTCTCAGCATACTCAACCTGGCATCAGACGCGCGGCATGTGTAAGGACTCGTGCGTCAGGCAAACACCAAGCAGCCTCAAGCTCAGCCAGAGGAGTGGGCTGCCCCACAAGCGGAACATGCGGAACGGCACCTTCCTGAGCTTGTGCACATCTCACTAACCAAACGCTCATCAGCATCATGGCATCAAGCCTGATCCATGGCTCGAAGAAATCAGCATTTCTTAGCTAACAGCACTCCTAGCCGATAGCACACAGCAAAATGTATCCAGTATATGCCATGAAGAAAATTACCTCTGCTTTTTTTGATCGATTGATTGACTGCCTGTGGGGTCCAGCCACTGCATGCCTCTGCGCATCTCTTGTTTGAGGCTTAGACAGCTGCCATCCAGCTCCAGGCAATGCAAACAATGGCTGTTACTGCAGAACGCACAAGGTAAAAGAGGCGAAAGACGTGATTCACGCGCACCTTGTATGGGAAGACCATCACCACATCGGAAGGCGGGAGCTTTCTCTGTGTCTGCGGCATCGGCTGCCTAACCAACTAGCAGCTGCTAGGACCCGCTAGGAGTGACACTGTGAACTCCACAAATCTGAGCACAACACCCTGCAACAGGAATATAGCCTGCAGGTAAATCTGCTTCCACTTATTGCATCTGGCAGCTGCGACATACCCTTTTAATTGCTTGCCTCAAAGACGAGCTGAATGCTAGTCAAAGATTAGGCAAACATTTCTATAACCAGCCCCAGACTTTGCTTGCTGGCCTCCAGGGCGCTGTGCCTCTTCCTCCTCCTCAACATCTTCGTGTATACCACCTCCGCGCGGTCTTTCCTGTCACAGCTGCACAGTGCCAAGACCAATTTGTGGTTGCTGACGGCGCCTGGCGCTGCTTGTAGCTATCCTGCTGGAGAAGCTCTTTTGTCCTCATCTTCTGCAAGCTGCCAGAGTCGACTTAAAGGCGTGCTCATTCCACAAACAAAATGCGAATACCAATTGACCAAGGTCTCTGAGCTGTCAAATCACAGGTCTTATGCAGCGAAGTCACTTGAAACACGGCTGCTGAAACAATGCAAAGCTATGCAAAACTGTTAACAGAGTAGAAACGTGAACGTCAAACACCTGGGTGTCTTGGCTAACCTTCACACTAATTGTCAACGATTGAGATGCTGACGAATGGTCTCGAACAAATGGCATCGCAAGCGAGCGGAGCACCTGAGGTAGATTTTGCGACACCATGATACTTCGATCAGAAAGCACTGAGCGTGCTATCTTTGACAACATTCCACCTCAGCACGAAGCCCAGCGCACGGAAACCGGGAGGCTGCGACACAACTAGCTACAAATCGACAGGTGGAATCAAAGGATGTGCTGCCAAATTGATGAATATCTATGCGACTCTTCATGATCATGCGGCTTGTTGCCCACTCCGCAACCAACGCTTGAGCCTCACGCTGCAAATGTCCGCATCGTAAGTGGCGAGACTCACACGTACCCATCACGTGCCCACATGCACGGGCAACGCAAACTTCTTCTACTAGCATGCGTATAACTTTTGCTAGCTCTACGCACAGCCAGGCAAGCTCCGAATTAGTAACGTTGAATTCAGTCTGCCGCGCTAGCTCGGACACCAGGCTGTAAATCGAGTTCGCCAGGATGTCGCATAGCTCACGAAACTTGAGCTAGTCTGCATGCGGCCTGTCCATAGCTGCCACCGAAAGAATCAACAGCATAGCCCAAAGCACAAGCCTGACAGTTTCAGCAGAGCGTCCATACACTTGAGCCGCCGGACCTTGGGCAACCATGTGAACCAATCAGATCAGCAACACGGTTCCAACCCTGCCATGGGCCTTCATGCATTATGACGTGCAAACCCTCACATGATAGCACATTGTTTGTGTTTTCTGCGTGCTCAAAATGTCTGCAGCATTGAACATGTGCAGACATGAAAGTGATGACCAGTGGCTTCCCACATTAAAACAGGTAGCTACGCGTGAAAGAACGAAGGACAAACTCCGTCCCCATGTTCCGCTCAAAATCATGCTGGCTTGTCATGGCGCATTGGCATGGAATCCCCATTATTCCAAAGCATGTAAACTGATCGGCTCCCATTTGTGTTGCCTCTGGTGATAATTATAACGAAGCCACCTCAGAGATTCTGACCAATCAATAACATTCAATAGCAGCGACTGGTCACGCGTCGTATGTGTCTGCCATCATATTGCACTGATATTTCAACACAGTCCAACGTGTAAAGAGGTAGGCGCTTTTCATGCTGCAGTTCATGACCTTACCCAGGATGCTTGTGATCGCCACAGCTGGATCCCTACATGGGATTCAAACATACGAAACAACAACTGGTTTCGTTTCCTGCTTGTCTCCAAAATTTCTCTGCACAACGCAGAAACGCAGGGGCTGATTGATGACAGCCATAGCTGGCCAGGGTTGCCAGTGCAGCAGGTCAAGATGTGTTGTAAAGTCCGGCCTCTGCTTGTCCCCTCATCCGGTCTCCCTCTCGGCCTCATCCCAGCAAGATGCCAAGCTTGTGAGTCATGGTAACCACCTTTTGCTGAGGCCAGGACGCAAGCATTTCCTGTCCTCCAAGGCGTCCGTCACCAGTCGTCTCACACATGATGACTGGAAATCCAGTTCCAAAGCCAGATCCAGTGCTGTGCCACCTCTCCGAGCCTGCTCAAATTGTCGAACGACTGACCTCCAGAAGCTCACCACAGTGAAGGAATGTCAACTAGAATGCTGTGCGGCTGCAAGACAGCCAGTCCAAGCCCTTCCAATCGTCAAAGCAACTTTCATATTGGAGGCCTTCCGGTGAGTCCAAGGCAACAAAGAATCTCGCCGATTGTTCATGAATCAGCCTTTCACGTTTGACACTGCCGGCCAAAAGCACGTAGGGTCTGCTAGCAAAGTGTCCTCCGCAGCGTGAGGATGCCGAGAACAAGTTCGCAGACAGAAAGGCAAAGCCGAACAATCCAGCACGCCTGCTGGGGTGGCAAATGTGCGGCAGCAGATGGGGTAGATCTATGTCTCAAGTATCTCTCTCAAGGTAAAGGTCCCTGTAAGGACCACTCTACTTCCTTGAGTTCGCGCTTCGCGCTACCATCCTAAAGTTTAAAGGCCATTGGCTGTGCACCATACCTCAGGATACTCTGCTGAACAGAGTCACCCAAAAATGCTACCCTGAAAAATGAGTGGTCTTGCATTGAGATCTTGCGTGCTTGGATCTTCTTACGTCAGCCACCCTCACGCCTGCTCCATCGGAAGAATGCACGGCAAATCTGGAGCCTAAGGGGCGCGTTCATAGCCAGATCCAGGTACACTCATGTGTCAGCGAAGAGGCGATGCTGCAATTGCCTGGTTGGAGAGACTCCATCAGCTCGCCTCTGCTGCCGCACAGTGCTAGCAGACTCGGGTCTAGGAATGCTGGGTGCATGCTGCCACGTGCGAACCAGTCGCACAAGACAAGCTTTGTGAGCAGGATGGCGACACATCTGCCAAACGAGTGTGTGTGTGTGTCTGTTCTCCCATGCAAACGGGGCTGCTGAGAAGGCGACCCCATGCAAAGAAAGACAAACAGGAAGAGCTCTGGCACCTGCTAGAGAGATGTGTGAGAAGCTTGACATGCCAACAGAGAAGCCTGCGCGCCTTCTCTCCAAGATTGCCGGCATATCCAAGGTAAAGCCGACAGGGTTCCAGAACGAAGCAGAGCATGTAGGTGGTACTGGCAGAAGTCAGGACTCATTGTAATATTTTGAAAGAAAAAAGGCGGAGGCACCAGAAGATTGCAACGATGACGGTGCCCTGAATCCTGCAAAAAGCTCCATGATTGGAATCCAGCCGAGAAGGCATTTGCAAGCCCTCGCATCCGCTCCATCGGTATTTTGCCCAGCCCGCAATCACCTGCCGGCATCAGCAGCAACAGCAGGATAACAGCAGCAGGAGGAAAGGCAGTAGTAGCGGAATTGCTTTGCAAGCACAAGCATCAGACTTTGAATACGGACAACCAGCAGGAAGAAGCTTTTGGACCAAGGCTTCTTGTTCGAGCAAGAGGAGGAAGAGGTGGAGGAGCAGCAGCGATAATGGCATCGAAGCAGCAACAATAGTTTCAATGCAGTTCACATGCTGCAGGTGTCTTGCCGTTGACTCTTATCTCATTCTGCAAGCACATGTGCCTCAAGTACAGCGAACACGAGGTCAAACCAAGCTCCATAATGAAGAAATACCTGGAGTTTCCGAAACAAATGCTTGGACCGGCCAGCTACTGCCAGCGGAAACCTGCCTGTAGCTTGACATTTGAGGACACGGCTCTGTCCAGCACCTTTAGCACACCCTTCAGTTCGAGACTCCAATTGCGGGAACATGCTGCGGTCGAGGGTTTGGCTAATGGCAGTCCTTCTCCTGGATGACCTCACCAAAAATTAGAAAATTTGACTTCAGCTTCCTTCAAGCTCAGTCGGCTGTCTGCCTTCGCGTGCACGCTGCTGCATGCAAGCGTCCTGCACAAGCAGAGAAAATGCCAAGAAAAGGCTGAACATGTCAACAAAATCTCATGCTAGGCTGCCAAGTGTTCATGGAAATTACCCTGCTGCAGTATCAGACCTGTTGTGTTGGCAGAATCCGGGTCTACAGAACACTAATGAAATACCGCAGGCTGCTCAATCCCCACAAAAAGCTGAGGCGGCACCTCTGAAATCAACGTACAACATGGTAACACATTGGCAGTCTGGCACTCCCGACTACATTGACTACATGTGGAAATATCTGACACAAAGCACTGCTACCTGTTGCATCCCCCCCGAAAAAAAATTCTCAATGCTTTGGGCAAACCATGTGATACACATGTCTCCAATTGTATCTGACTCATCTGACTGAGCATTGAAGGCTATACCTGAAATCAGCATGTGAAGTGTTTCAGCTGATAAGCTGCAGATCATGGTACAAAAACAAGATCATTGTCATTGACATGCCTTTCCATGCACCTGAAGCTCTGAGGCAAACCAGTTCCAAGCACATCAAGCGCCAACGTTGAATGTACACTTAGTCGCCAAATGAACAACTTATGCTAATCAGTTGCACGTCGGTGGGTGCCAAGGATTGGAGTTGCAAAAAAAACAGATCACGGGGGAATCAGCATGCTGCGGCAGTTGGATGCCCAGACCTGAAGCATCCGGATGGTCCACTCAACAACCCAGCTGATGGTCGCATTGCAAAAAGCAACATGCAAGAGGCCAGCAAGCGCTATGCCCCTACGCCTATCCTTTCTCAGTAGCACTGGCATTTGGGAGCGTATGCTGTTCTACAACCTAGGTTGCAGCCAACATGCTGCTTCATCCTGTGATAAGCAAAAGCATGCAGAGGGTCCATGGAAAATCCAAGGCCAAATCTGTTGGGCTTAAGCCTCTTCTACTTGTGATTCCCAACCATCTGGCAGAAATAGCTTAGCATCATGGAACAAGCTGACTCCATCTTTTGACTCATCGGCTCAGCAGGTATCGTTTCAACCCAGGAAGTCCATCTTCGAAATCCCAATGACCAATTAACGCGAGACTGCAATCTCCGGCCCCGGCAGGGTGAGGGAAGATAAGGGAACGTCTGATGAAGTTGCACGAGAGTGAGAAATGCACATCTCAGACGCACATCCCTTGCAGAAGGTCATGCTTACCACGTAAGTGAAAACGGATGGAATCTTCATAGAGAGTCTCGATAGCAGAGCGGTTTTAAGAGTTTTGACTCTTGATGAGGCTCAGGGCTCACGTGCTTCACACATCCTATGGAACTGCAGTTCGTTGATGGTTCAGGTTACAGCCGACGGATGACGGAACATAAACCAATAAAGAAGACTAGATGAATCGCTGGATAAATTGCTTATGTACGCGAGGCGCACTACATCCTGATTTACAATTGAAATCAATTGAATGGCTAAACGCAAATAGCTATTACCTGAGGGAGGTGTTCACGGGCTCCAAAACATGAACCGCCATGTTGCGCATGCGTCCTTTTCCATCGCCGTCCTCTCAATTTTGGTGGCAGCGGTGGACAACTACTAAGACATGCTTTCATGTGTCGGGTGAGACTAATTGGCGCTCAAATGCGATGACCTAGGCCAGGACCCGAGCACGAGCAACTGCCGTGCTGCTACTAGTACCACAACTGAGTACAAGGCCATCGGACCTGACACCAGGCCCGTAGGGTTTCCTGAAGGTGCGACCTGGCCAGCTCCGTACCAAGATCAATCAAACCAACAAACCTTTTCCCACATGTAGTCTCCTTCGAACACCTTGCAAAAGCAAATCAGCCATGCGTACACGCCGGCTGCTTGCACAAGCCGCCCGTGCTACCCATACCACACAGTGTTGCCACAGAGTTAGCATCCGGAGTTGGAGGGCAGAGCAACTGGCGCCTACGTGACGCTTCTCACGACCTTGTGAACATGTCGCAGCAATGAACCACCGCGGAAAGCTGCGCATAAGACAATGGCACAGCATCCAAGATTCTGGCCGCTCATGTCGTCACCTTACAACATGTCGCTGGTGGACATATATTATTAGGTGGAAACCTTTTGACAAGGCCTTTTTGTAATGGCCATAGTGGCCTTAAAGTTGCTGTAAAGCTAGGCATGCAAGCTGTGAGCGCAGACGGACGTGTCCCTACGAAGTCCTGAAGGCCACTATTTCCCTGGCAATTGCTTCCTGGGAAGGGGGGCATGCACAGCCGTCCTTTCATTTGCTGCTGCACGACGTGAAAGACAGCAGGTGAACAGCAAAGGACGATCAGCTCACCCCGTCTCACCCGAAGCCCGCAAAATGTTTTTCTGTGTGGAGCGTCCACCAGCTGTTCCGCACAATCCTCACAATTGTTGCACACCGACCCGTACAACTAAGCACAGACATCCCAAATCAGGTGCCAGGGTCTTACCCTCCGACAGTATTGACCTGGAGTTCCAGCCTCAGCTGCTGCAGTAATTTCATGGTGTCATGACCCCCACCCAGATCACCCAGTCACGGAACAGCCGTCCATGGCATAGAAGATTCATGCTTCAGGACTGTGAATGTCAAGGCCTTGCACACTGCAGCTAATCAATCTCCCTCGCGTGCATCTTTAAGGAGAGCCCACAACTGCACTGACAGCCCTGCGTCAGATCCAAAAATGTGAATTCATGACCCGTGTTCCATCCAGAATCCAGCTGCAATCTGGCAGTAAGCCAATGCCACCGTTTATGCACCAAGCTTACCCCCTCCAGACGCGAGTTGTGCCAGGGGTGTGTGGCACGAAAGCTTTGTCAAGTTGCCAAACTTGAGGGGCGAGCCGAGGCCAACGAAAGCTAGCCAGGCTTTATGTACCATGGAGTAAGGTAGACGAGGCGGGGGTACATGCCAGCAAAAGGCACAAACCTCATTAAGGGCCTGGAAAACCATCGCGGAACCTCGCCAACTTGA